GAGGCAGCAATGCTGTGAGGGCTGAACTGTGCGTGTGCGTGCCCCAAGCGCGCCTATATATGCACAGCACGTTTCGACTACCATGGCAGATGGTCCACACACGTATTTTACACATTCATACATAACCGTCCTATGAGCCCAAACCTTCGGTGGCCACACCAGTACTCTTCCTTTGGGTTATTTCAAAGGAGAATCCCTAGAACACCACTGGAGGTCTGAGTCGGGTTTACCAACCACAGCTTAAAACTCGAAGGCTTCGTCCGAGCTGCCACGATGGCGTGCTTGGAAGGGGCCAGTGGCAGCATCTTGTTCCCCGAGCTGCCTCCACCACAAAAGGCTCGCCCCCTTGCCCCATTCGATCCCATTCATTTGTGTTGGCTCAAGTTCATGATGAAAACCCCCCATAACCCCAACACCCCAACACACAAGGAGAATACTTTTGTCAAGCCATCCCCCCCTCGCCCGAGCAAAAAATGGGGCCCGTACCTACGATAGACGCATGACATCGCCGCTGAAGGCCTTAAATTGCTCGGCGGCTTGCCGACCATTGGGCCATGGGGCCCTTGACAAGCAAATCGGACACCTTCGCTGGCTCAAGCGCCATGTACCCTGAAGGTGTACCAAGGCATAGAATCATTCCAAACCTAAAATATGGAACTTAGATTCTGGAACACATACCGAAGGGGCTCGCAAAGGCCCTAGGTTGGGTCCATGCAAGCCTTTGAATTTCTATCGGGTCGTTCCCTTGCATTGCCCAACTTCCGACATGTCGGGAAAAGCGGCGTTTCTTTGCTGCAAAGAGACAAATGTGAGAACTATGAAGCGAGCCTGCCACTTGGAGAGGCCAACTTGAGCGGCTACTCAAATTTCAACGAATGAAGGAAGCGAGAGGCACTCATAACACGTCGTGGTAAAGGTCGAAATTCGACTGCACATGGGAAGCATGGTTGTGACAATGTGCTGCCAAAGTTGGTATCACAGAAAAGACCATAAATCCGTATGGGTGCGTCCTTGTTGGTTGGTTTTAAAGGAAGCCAAAAGGAAACCGACCATGTTTTGGGTGTCCCCCCCAAACAAAGAGACACACTGTTTTGAAATTGAGAGAGTCCCCATGTCGCTCCCAAATCAACAAATAAAACAAGGGAATCCAAGCGGTAAAGGCGAAACTACCTGGAAGATCAATTTCCTCTGGAAAATCCTGCACCACCCAAGAAACCCATAATTCCCCCTGCAAATATCAACAAACGTTATGGTTTCAACCCTGGTTCCGTTTCGTGGTGCAGTCCATCCAACCGATGGCAACGTGTGGCACGGCGGCCGGCCTCGGAGAGATTGTGACTTCGCCTTGATCGCTGTCACCGGCCCATGATGCACCGTCAGCTGATTTGTGGGGTCAAGGGTACTGTCAAACCCCATGGTATGGTAGCAAAAGGTTTGCTTTTGGCAGCCCCCTGCTTTAAACGAAAAATCCCTTTAGAAACATGCCAACAACTGCAAGGGATGAGATAACTAGAATGCGGGATGCGGGGCACTTGAAACCAAAGTAGTTCGTATGGCCTTCAGAGAATCACGTCCCTAAGCATTACTGGACCCTCCATTTTATTGGAAGTTGTTGACCTCGACAAAGGTCTTTTTGACGTCCCACCCACTCGGGGTAGCTGCCCGGATGCCGAGCTCCCCTGCCATGAAACGGAAAAGTTTGATGCTTCCCTCCCAAAAAACATCCAGAAGGGGGTGCCATGGGGGGTGGAGTTGTGAAGGGGGCGCCATTTCTCATATTGCTCTAACATATCAATCCTGCATCCGCCTTCAATTGCAAATATACCGTGTTTGTGTGTGTGTCTTGGTTTGAGCCTTGGTATCCTTGTTGCCCTTCTTGCGGATTTGACCAGAGTTCGGACACCACCCATCTAGGAGTTTCCTGACACTGCTTGATCCCTCCCATTTGGGGCAGCGCAATGGCAGGCGTGCAGCCTTGCTGAAAGCTCCTTCCCCAGCCCATTTTCTGGTCTCCCGCTTGGCCAGGTTTTCTTCAGTGTTGTCACATGGTAGGGACCAACCAGGAACCCTACAAATCAAAAACGACATTGTAAAATGGTTCCGGGCCAGAGTCTCGGAGTCTCACCTGGGCGCCCACACAGAGGCCAAAGGATGCACCTTGATGTCGTCCAAAAGCACCTCGAGTCCGAGTCCGGAGTGCCTACTGTGGCTGGACGAAATCCAATTTGCACCCCTTGAGTAGATGAAGCGCTGATGAGGCAAACCACCCAATCCCAGCCAGTTGCGAACTGCATTTCGTCCATCCACAGTACCATTCCTCACCTAGGTCCTCCAGTAGAGAGGTTAGAATAAGGGGGGTACCCTTTTTCTGTAGTCTATTTTAGTAGGGGAACCCTCCCCCCAAAAAGTTGGTAAAAGGGCACTACTGGGGGACCTGGTCAGCAAACAAACAAAGTCCAGCGTCTTGTTTACCACCCAAAACTGTCCTTCACAGCGCAAAGACTCATGGAGTCAGATTTAAAACGCAGGGGAAGCGGCACCAGGCCTGTGCAAAGTCTCACAAGGAAGCTACTTCACATGTTTGGGGTACCTTGAAGAAACCCAAACAACTCCGCAAGAATGGCTCGATGCCCCATTCTGTCCAAGCATGGTTCTTTTCCAACATATGGCCGTGTTTGCCTTTTTGTTCCGGTGGCTACAACAATGGATTTCTGAACAGAATGGTCGGACGTTGCCCAGCGAGGAACTTGACTTTTCTTGCAAGCGCCCCTCGCAAACCCAAGACCATGCCAACGCTTGGAATTGTCTTTTTGCTGGGAACCCCCAAAACGAAGAAGAAGAAGAAGGAGTGATGTTCCTTTCGTTTCGCTTCAACACAGACCAAGAAGGGCTACCCTGCACCTTCAAACCAAACTCCGGGAAATTCTGTGTGTTTTAGGAGACCCCTACGATTTACCGAATTCCAGTGGTTTAGCTACAATTGGGGCAAAAACACAGTTTGCATCGTTTCCAGTCGCGCATTGGAAATACAAAGCAAATACACCTCGCAGCACTTGCCAACGTGCCAATGAACACCATAAAATGCCTTGATCATTCAAAACTACGACTTTTTCTGATTTGTGGGAGTTTGCTCTTCTTTTTTTTTGCGGGAGATTTGCGGAAATTTGAGGGCATTTTGCGGTCAAAATGGGTACGCTTTTTCTGCACTGCACAACTTTGGACCGCACTTGCGGGCTGTATCAAGCCATTTTCCCCCGCTTCCTTGCTTTAATCTGTCAAAGGCCGCGAGCATTGCAATAGCTTGCAATTTGGGAAATTAGGACTTTCTGGTGTTTGCGGCAAAAAGCGCTACGGTTTCACGAATATCCGGTCAAAAGCGCAAACTACTTTTTTTTTCAGGAGGACGAAGGTCCAAGACCTTCGAAAAAACAAGGAGATTGACTCATTCTCAGGAACTGTTGTCATGTATTCCGCAGGCAGGGTGATAAAACGCATCAGACATGGTACAGCGGCAGGCTCAACTAGGTCATTCAAAGTGGAGGGGGTGATTTGTATGTCGGTGCTTCTCAAAGAATGGTACCTCAAACATCTGAATTCTGGTTGGATTCCTTTTCCCCTGGAGGTCCCTTCTTGGTACCTCATATTTGTGGATTTTCGGGAATCTGCGCTTGATGAACCCCTTTGAAGCAAACCCAAAACGATACATATTGAGTCTTAGACTCTATAGGTTACCTGCCAGGGGGACCACCATTGCCTACTGAGTAACTAAAAATATTATCGCCAGGAACCGATAAAAAACTACCCAAAACCGATACCCGGCAACATGCAAGCTGCAAGATACCCTAGTTGCTTGTATGATCCTAATCAGCAATCCATAGTGGCACGTACCATCTGGCATACGCATTCGGGAGTCGGCTTAAACAATCCAACCCAATAAAACTCAAGGCATGCTGCAGTGGAACCAAGCCAATCACGTTAGCAACAACGGCCCATTGGCGACACAGGTTGCTCAGCTTGAACAGTTGAAGGCGTCAAACTGTCTATTGGAAAGGACACACACACATATCTTCTCCAGCACGTTGCTTGGCATTGTGCTATTCAAACAACAAGTAGGGCGCAGCAAAACTGCTGCCTCAATTCCAGGTGCTCTTCCTGAAAAAACACGTCCCGCGTTGCATCTCGCGGATGATTGGAGGGTGTTGACCCGTCCGCCTGAACAAAACAACACATACGGAGATAGGCTCTATGCAAGCGATTGAAGTATTGGACCCTCCTGCATGCATGACAAACAACTCACATCATCCCTGGGCGATGCACATCAACAGATGGACGATTCAGAGACACCGTTTAACTCAGTATTATCTGAAGAATGTATCAAACTATCTAAAGGGTTGTCCACATTCTAAAGCCAATTGTAGGACTGCCTTGGAAGGCAGAACAAGACAGGTGCCCAAGGAGGGCCGAAAATTACTTTTGAGACCACCTCACATCGGAAGTCAAGGCCGCTAGGACATGGCAAGCATCCATAACTCTCACATGAATATCCGACCTAAGCAAAAACAAATAGGAGCCCACCCAACACCGGTACCCTTCAGCCTGCAAAACCGATAGCGCACCCAACATTGATTCTCACACTCTTCTCCGTTTGCCCATGTGCTGTGTTTCCAGCAATGGCCCTACGTCCTTTAACCCCGTGGCGAACAAGAAGCGCAGTCATCCAAGCAATGCAAGCCAACGGCCTCCAAGGCAACAAGATGATAGACAAGGCCAACATCCACAAAGAACACCGTAGCCTTCAGCACACTGATGACAAGGTCCTTTACGCTGGATGACCATTGGGGAAAACCACTCAAAGATGATATGTCCCACCTAATTGGGAAAAGCTACCCATGGTCATTTGGGAGGCCCCAAATGGAATAGTTGATCAAGCCCCACATGGAAGCTCGCTCTAAACACGCCAATTGTACACCGACGAAACCCGTCTCGAGTGAAATGCCAGATCAAGCGGCCTGCCAATAGGCGGTGGAGACCTTGGGCATCCAACTTCTCAGTGAAACCGAAGTCGACGCAAGAGATATGTCTGCCAGGTGCCAAGAACAAAATGGCATGTTGCTTGTTGATTCCCTCGTTTGGACATCAACAGGGGATGGAGAAAAAAAGAAGAAGAAAAAATGAACTCTAGAACAGCAGATAAAATTGGCATATATCTTGTGTTCAGCTGTCCGCTTTCAGATGCCCTTCGAAAAGTTAGTCTGACTTTTGGTTTAGTGGAATCCGCCACTAAACCCTAACAGGCTAAACACCTAAGCGGATGGCTAGGAACCACCAAGTGTTGATTCCCTCCTTTGGAAACCAAACGGGGGTGGACAACTCGCTGTACCCCTTCGATCCCCTACAAACAGTTTCTAGCTTTTAGCGGTTGAGTGGTGAAACTACCACTAAATCAACTAAAAACAAAAACAAACTAAGGAACCGGATAGCTGGGACCGGATGGCTGGAAACCACCAATCCAAACCACCCATCCAAACACCAACTCAGGGTGGCTAGTGGTGAAACTATTCCATTGAACAAAACAACTACTGTAATGGTGTGCGTCTTTTTTGTTTTAGGGGGGGGGACCCCCCTTTTTTGGTGGCGTTAAAGAAAGCCAAAAAGAACCACCTATCCATTTTGGTGTCCAATTCCTAAAAAAGACACCCCCAAGGAACCATCCCAAGCTAAGGGTGGCCATCCAAAAGGCCACTGGGAGGAAACCACAAGAAGGAAAAACGAACCCAAAAAACCTGCTAAAAACAACCACTTCCTGAGCGGAGTGGCCAACAACAGTCTCGGAACTTGCTATTTGCCGCCAAACTGGTCCAACCCCAAAAAAGCTAAAACCCAGCGGTTGCTAAGTGGTTCCCTGGACCATCCGAGGCGCCACTGGGAGGAAATGAAACTTGCCCTCGAAGTGCTTCTCATCCACTCCACCGAGCACCAGCTGACCGTCCTCCTGGTCCCCCAGATAGAAACCTCGGGCTGGAGGATCGCCGAGACCGCGGAGCTTAAAGAAGCGGAAGCCGGGGAAAACCTCCCCCAGACCTGAAGGGCTAGGGGTTTTTTGGGGTCCCGCAATTCCATTCTAGTCTTCCCCAAGGAGAAAATGGAAGCACAAATGAAAAATTCCAGGGATCACCCCCCTCCCCCAATTCCATTTACAAGGGGGCGGGGATTGGAAAACAAACCCCGAAAGACTTCCTTGTTGGATGATGATGATGATGATGATGATGATGATGATGATGATGATGATGATGATGATGATGATGATGATGATGATGATGATTATGATGATGATGATGATGATCACGGTGCTGAAAGAACAGGCCCTGGATTTCCTTGTTGGATGATGCTTTTAAGGGAAACCACCCATGGACAAAAACGCCCCTACTTTGAGAAGCCCCCCAAAATCCCAGTTCCAGCACGTTGCAGTTAGACAGAGCACGTCGTCTCAGCGCATCGCTGCTGAAAACTCCCCGACCGAGGCACCAAAGACGGGCTCCTTGAGCTGCCGCGAATTGATCAGGACCTGCCCGGTTGGGCCCCGTTTAACGTGATTGACTTCATGTTTAGGGGGATTGACCCACCAAACAAAAAGGAACATAATCCAAACACTTTTCAGTTGCTGGCAAATGACCCCAATAGGTCACTTAGCAGACCATTGCCATGAAGGGGCCTGGAGACTGCCACAACATGGGTATAGGTCTTCATCTGGGATGTGATTGCGCGGACGAAGGCAGCCCTTTGGGCCAGGCCTTCGGCCCAATCACATCCAATGGCCAGATTTCTAAAATGCCCGCATTTGCCTTTGGTCCTGCGCCTGACAAAGCAAAGACACTCTGGTTTGGAGGGTATCGGTTTTATTCAACTTAGCGACGTCGCGATGTAGCCCCATGAACCCAGTCAGAGCAGAAAAAAACAACTCCATGTCAATGTGTGTCTGTCCCAAAAAGCGGCCCTTTCTTGGCGGATTCTATGGGGGAACCGCATTCCAAATACCAAACCACCGTCTTGGGATTCATTTCGAAAAAGCAAACCCACCATGCCATCCTTTTTCTGGGCCCAAGAGGAACACGGCCCAAGCTCACCAGCTCCGATCAAGTGCTCGCGCTTCGCGTTTCGATCTGCCCGGATCGCGGATCGCGCCTGGACCAAAGGCGAGCCTCCAAAGGCGAGGTTGTCAAAGCCCAAGCCCAGCACTCCGTCGAAGACCTCGGGACAGGCTTGAAGCTTGGCAGCTGATGGTTTCCTCCCCGAACATGACCCCAACAATCCCCGCAAATGACCCAGACATCCCCGAAAATGACCCACAAATCCCCGGACATGGCCGCAGCTGGGTGATCAATCCTTCTTAAACTTGGTTGCGTTCTTATTCGTCAATGTTTGTTGGTTGGTTCCTTCTTTTGGGTTGGTTCCTTAGCACAAACAGAGTTGGTTTGTTGGAGTGTGTCTGTCAGAATGTGCACCTCATCGCACACATGAAACCGAACGGCTCAAGACGGGCACCTGTTTTATTCCATTTGCTTAAGCCCGCTGGAAAACATAAAACGCGTATGTTCAGTAGTGATAGATTCCCAATAAAACCAACAAGAAAAACATATTCTTAAGACAATTGAAGTTTTGACAAATTCATCGTTGTGAGCGATTTTCTAGAAAGAAGAATCTCGGTTTCCTCCAACATATTCCCCTACACAAATTTCCCCCTTACAGACTCTTTCACGGAATCCAGCAAGCGCCAGTCGTAGAGGACTCTCCTTTGAGCAAAACTCCTTTGTTGGGTTCCATGTGGGTATAGGTCAAAATTAGACCACCAGACCCCAGGTTTTAGTCTTTGGTTTGCCATTTACCGACACCTTGCAGCGCCATTTTGGGGGTTCCCTGCCCATGTTCATCTGGAGGGTATCATGGGTCACCCACCATAGGCAATTGGGCGCCTTCCTGTTGCCATTGCCGGTGACCGCCCTTTTTGGAGATCTGGTTTCCTCCATTTGCGTTTTCGTTTCGGGGGAAAAAAACACAGAAAACCGTCAAATTGGTTCCCTTTAAAGCCAAGAAACAAAAACCACAAGTCCGAGATGCACACGAAGCTACGCATGAGGTCACCCAACCAAGCCCATCGGCATTTGAGGGTGGCCATTGTTTAGGGAACTGTCAGTTGCTTGGTTTTGCAGGGCAAGCCCTGAGACCAACCTAGGTCCAGAATCCAGAACCCTTGAGATAAACCCCTCTTTTTCTGGAAACCCTTGAGAGATACTCCCCTACATGTCAGGTAACGTGGAACCTGAGAAAACGAAAACCCAACATTTATGGAGGAATCTTTGTGGAATTTGACCTTTTCCCCCCCTTTTGGTGTGCCTTCGTGTTGGGGCTCAGGGAGTAGTCTCATCTTTGCTCGCCGAGAGGCGGACATGGCAGAGGTGTACATGCTCCCCAACCCTCGGACATCATCCACTTGGGCGAAGGAGAAGTTCTTGATCTTCCTGAGTTGGCTGCGGGTCAAAAATACGTGCCCAAAATGGAATCCTGGTAAATGGAAACATGGACAAAAACCTGCGGTCCCCTGGTGGTTTAGTTTTGACCCATACCCAGTCGATCAAACCAGGCCAAAGGAACCTTCTGCAATTGAGATCTTTGTGTTTGGTTCGGCGTTTGCACGAACTTATGTCAAGGAGAGTTATTACCCTCCTAACCGGGGGGGCGGTCCTGGGTTTATAGCCCGTTTATAGCATGTATAACCAGCATACCCCTCCAAACTAGGGGTTGGTCCGTTTAGAATTTGGAACCCCGATGCTTATCTTAACACTATGGCCAAACACTGACTCAGAGCCGAGTTGTACGCTTGCAATGCCTTTTCGTTGTTGTTGTTGTTGTTGTTGTTGTTGTTGTTGTTGTTGTTGTTGCTGTTGCTGTTGCTGTTGTTGCTGTTGCTGTTGCTGTTGCTGTTGCTGTTGCTGTTGCTGTTGCTGTTGCTGTTGCTGTTGCTGTTGCTGTTGCTGTTGTTGTTTTGTTGTTGTGGTTGTTGTTGTGGTTGTGGTTGTGGTTGTGGTTGTGGTTGTGGTTGTGGTTGTGGTTGTGTTGTGGTTGTGGTTGTGGTTGTGGTTGTGGTTGTGGTTGTGGTTGTGCTTGTGTTGTTGTTGTTGTTGTTGTTGTTGTTGTTGTTGTTGTTGTTGTTGTTGTTGTTGTTGTTGTTGTTGTTGTTGTTGTTGTTGTTGTTGTTGTTGTTGTTGTTGTTGTTTTTGTTTGTTGTTGTTGTTGTTGTTGTTGTTGTGTGTTGTTGTTGTTGTTGTTGTTGTTGTTGTTGTTGTTGGTTGTTGTTGTTGTTGTTGTTGTTGTTGTTTTGTTGTTGTGTTGTTGTTGTTGTTGTTGTTGTTGTTGTTGTTGTTGTTGTTGTTGTTGTTGTTGTTGTTGTTGTTGTTGTTGTTGTTGTTGTTGTTGTTGTTGTTGTTGTTGTTGTTGTTGTTGTTGTTGTTGTTGTTGTTGTTGTTGTTGTTGTTGTTGTTGTTGTTGTTGTTGTTGTTGTTGTTGTTGTTGTTGTTGTTGTTGTTGTTGTTGTTGTTGTTGTTGTTGTTGTTGTTGTTGTTGTTGTTGTTGTTGTTGTTGTTGTTGTTGTTGTTGTTGTTGTTGTTGTTGTTGTTGTTGTTGTTGTTGTTGTTGTTGTTGTTGTTGTTGTTTCTTTCTTCTGGGGGGCAACAAGCATTGCTGTTTAGAGCCTAAGAGCCCTGGGTTGCTATGACTCCCGCTTTCAAATTAGTATGAGCATCCCATGCCAAGCAATGGAAGACGTGTTCCCCGTAGTGAGTCACAATTGGCACTCAACCAATAGGTACAAACAGCACATATTTGGAGATTCCCAGAAAATGGGTGAGCCACAACTGGGGGTCCATGTGCTAACTGATTGATGCTCACTGTAGGGGTTTCCAAATGGCTGTGAGTCTTTTTCAAAGTGGTTGGTTGACATTTGTTCTCCCCACCCAAATGTCCACTAAAAAGGTCCGAAATCAACATAAACGACCAACGTATTGCTGCCTTTCTACTCAGTCGCCTCCAGTAATTTTCAGCTTCAGCTTTCATCATGCCCTCGAGTCGTCTCCAAAGCCTCTCATAGCCTTGCAAGGGTAAGGTTGACCCGAATGAATCAACCGGGGGATCAACTCCCCCCGAAAAAAGAAGTGAAGAATCCCTCTCAGCTTGGACCCCGCCTGATAATCAACCAGGGGGTTGAACTGTGGAACTCTGAGGAAAACTAAGATTCAAAGCCTGTGGTGACTACGGGGGGTTCCGGATATGTTGGGTGGTATGCTTTCCTTGAGTCTGTATGCCTTTTGACCTCAACTTTGACTGAAAATCCGCTGGACCATCCTAGTCGGCGTGCTTCCCTGTCAGGGGGAGGGGGGGGGAGAGCGCATTCTCTGGTCCTCCAAACTAAGCCAAACTTAAGATTATGGGCTTGCCCTAGACTCGACCTGACCTGGCCTTAACCAGGGATGGACTCCATCTTTCATAGACGTCCAAATGTCCTCTTCACATTTATAAGTCTAACAACATGTTCTTTTTGTTTTCCCGTGAACAACATCCCCTGAAATCACGGGACCCCTTTTTGTCAACAAGTTTCGAAGAGGGCCATCTACGTACTTTCTAACCCACACCAAAAAATATAGGATCCACCAAACAATACGCTACTGGGTACCTTTCGTGTGGCTGGGGAACTTGTTCAGTCCCCACCAAAGGACAAATGACCTTTCACGGGGTCATTATTCTCCCTCAATTCTGGTTGGCCACCTTTCTTTTTGGTCAATCCACTCGATCAAAAGTGAGATTCACTACTCGCCGAGCGAGTCCATTTCCGCCCGAATGCGCCGAGGCGCAAGTTACCAATTGAAACGTCGTCGAAACCGAAGCGGCCGGAAACTCCGCCTGCTATGCGGGGGCGGCCGACGCTGACATACGTGGAGCGCTTCCAGGCAAGCCACCATAGGTAACCAGTGGAACCCTCCTGTAAAACCTACAGGTAAAATACTTGGTTATCTGCTCTACAGCGGTAACTGGAGGCATTGGTGGAGCTTGTGGTTTTTGAGGACCCAGTTGTTGGGAGGTCCCTGCTTTGATACAGACCCACGCGGGCTTCTTGATTAGATGATGCTGTGTTCACGGACCCATGAGAGGTCCCATTGGAGTCCTTCCGAATAGGACATTCCTCATGTGTGGCTTTTTAGCGGGGTGCAAAAGGACAACCAAGCGCTACAGTGTTTGCTGGATTTCCCCTTCATCATTTCATCAATTCACTGGGTTACAATGAATCTACGACTTTCGGAGGTGCAAAGCGAGAATGTGACTCGATGATTGAGGACATTGGCCAAACAAATCCCAAACTTTGCCACCAAAATAGTCCAACAAGTGCAAAGTCCAGGAACTCAGTGAGTGAGTTCTCAACGGATGCGCCAAGACACGCCCCCCAAATCATCTGGCTCCATTTCGCCGAAGGCTTCCCTTGCGGGCTTGCCCTTTTGGGAGCCCAAAACAAACACGGATTGAAGCCATTCGACATCCAATCAGGATTTTGTTGCGTGGTACAGCTACTCAGTTTCCCAGTTCATGAACATCGTTTAGATGCTCGAAACAACACTGGCAATGTGTCTAGCTTTGGCACATGGCAAGTTTCTGTAAGCACCGTAGCTCCTGCCACAACACTACACAAGGTATCTCTAATAAATCAATCTTCACCCAAAGCGAATTGACTCAGAGAAACGGTAATCTGCCTTTAGGCAAGTATCCAATGATGTTCAAACAAATAAACTATTTGCTGGACTCATTTGACAATGACGGGGCTTGAACATGAAAACCATATGCGACCTATCGACCTATCCGCCCACACCACATGGCAGCGTGCCTGAACCATATTGGAAGAAGAAGGACCGCGATCCCTCCTGGCACCACATTGAGTTGAGCCCCGACAGTATGAGCGCGGCGTGAACCCGTTTTGAATGGTGTTTCAAGTGAGACGTATAGGACACAATTTGAGCATGTAGAAATGTAACGAGAGACGATGAGGACCCTGGACACTGTCTTTTACATAATTGAAAGTGGACCCCAGTGCCCCTTCGGGGTTATCACAGAAAGTGTCCAAAACAGGCATCCCCTGTTTTGAGCAACCCTTATCTTTGCCCACAAAAGGGGGTGCACCGAAAATTATATGTTCAGAGTCTCATCATATTTAGCTTGCAGTTTACCCCAACATACAGAGGAGAGACCTCGCAAAAGAGCTGCTTCCCTTCAAACTCAAGTCGCAACACAGCAGACCTCAGATCCAAGCGCGGTCCACATCCCAGGGTCGGCTTGCAGCAGTCTGAAAGTAGATGGCGCAATCCCTTGAACAAATGGGGAAGAAAACGCACGACCAAACCGGAATGGGAAAAATGGTGAAAGCCTTCACCCACTGCAAGATGGTGACCTTTTTTCAGTGACCCAACTGAACAGCAGAACTGTGAACCAATTGGCTTGGAAGACCGTCATTAGGGATAATCCTTTGACCAAAACCGATGTTTGACCCTCACATGACAGGATGCCAATACTTTACGACCATTCTTGATGTTTTGACATATCCTGCAGCGTTCTTGCCTTCCCCAATGCTGAGAAACTTATCCCCAACTGCCAAGTGGTCAACTCTGGTCAGCACGAGAACGCTCTGTAGTCCAACTGCATGCAAAACTAAACACTTACTTCCAAGGGTTTGCGTGTTTCCCTCGGAATTCATCCGCGCAACAAGTTCGAGAAGCATGGGTTGTGTTCTGCTATGTTCAAGCACAGTCTTGTTCTATTGGACTGTGTGTCATTTCCCAAGGGTTCCTTGCTGGAAACAACGATCACCTCACTTCAAGCCAGCTTGCCTCTTCGAAACCCCCGAGCAAAGGGCCTACATCATATAGTCTTATCGCTGGTTTCACCCGTTCGCTCGGCTCAGCAGATCGATGTTTGCACCCCCCCTAGTTGGTGGTTTGGAGCCCGCTTTGGAATTTGTGCTCCGGGTGGTGTCCCATTCACCCACAAGAACCATTCAAATCCCGAAGCCACCAATCCAAACCACTCACGTACAATGGTCTTCCCAAAAAAGCTCAACGTGGAACTCAGGAAGTGAGACCATCTGAAGGTCACTCCCCACAGATTGACATGGAACTCAAAAAGGGTGTCCCTCAAGAGCAGTCCTCTACAAAACGGACGGGCTTTTTGGGGTTCCATGAACAAATCAGGGGAGTACCCAACATGAAGGGGCTTTGTGGGTTCCATGTTCATCGGTAGGGGTTGTTCCCTGAGGACCCGGTGGAATGTTCAGCTGTAGATGTTCATCAGCAGGGGAGTGCCTAATGGATGTGATCGTACCTTCGCTTTGGCGCCGATGATTCTAACACAAAATGAGGTTTTGGCATGTAC